CCCCAAAACCCCAAAACCCCAAAACCCCAAAAGAATTATTTATGAGATTATCGCCAGAAAAGAGAGATATGAAATTAGCTATAAATATCCAGCTAGTAATAAAATTTAATAAATAGGATCCAATTAATCTGATAAATAGTAATAATTAACTGAGGATATGAATTATGATAAAGATGAGGAGGGGTCTCAGACCGACCTCCTCAAGAAGAATGATAAATCCCATAACATCAACTAAAGTGATACCGGTAGTGTTAAAGAGGATTAAAAGAAAAGGAGAAACAGAATCATCAAAATAGCTCTGATAATTCTTCTCATTATAGGTGTAATTCTAGCTATCGTGCTACCATTGACACTGAAGAGTAAAGACGACCATAATGATAGCCCGGTACCTCCACCACCTACACCACCTTCTCCTCCAGTTCCAGATAACTATAATCCTTATTCACTTGATAAGAAAAATATCTAGACTGATAATTAGGCAACGTTCTCTGGCTATCTAAGTTCATCAGAGACCTATAATCCATAGAAGCATCAATCAGCTTTTAATAAGCTATTTAAGTCTTCAGAAGCAACCAAAGACAAGTTAGGAGTAGAATCAAAGAAAATTCCTTAGGGATAGAACAATCCATTTATCAAGAATATCCAGTTCAACTTCGAAATGATGAACTAAAAAGTTGCAAGACTTGAGATGACTGATAAGGATAATAAAAGATTTAGTATTCCAGAAAATATCCTACCAAGGCCAGGCTATGACCTTTCAATGAGACTTGAAATGAATGGCTTCAACTACAATTTGAATCCATTTTCTTTCAAGTTCTAAGATCCTGTAGACCCTAAGAACGTTTTCCTCACTACCGAGAACTAGACTATGGTATTCATGGACAAGTTCATTCAAATAGATTTCCTCCTCCCCTCTTAAAGAATTTTTGGATTTGGAGAAAGAGTTCACGACTTCCAACTTGGTGAAGGTACATGGACGATGTGGGCTAACGGGTAAGACTAAAAGGTTGATGATGGAGAAGGAAGAAGAGGCACATACGGAGTGCATCCATTCGTGCTTGTTCAAGGCAAAAACAAAGGCGACTTTTTCGGTCTGTATTTCAGAAATTCCAATGCCTAATCACCAATAATCAAGTATAATGACAATGGTTAAAGTGTCTTAAGCTATATCTCCATTGGTGGCTAGCTTGAGGTATACTTCATCTTGCACGGCTCTGTGAAATAAGTGATGGGTGCTTATCAAAGTCTGCTAGGAAATTCCATAAACCTCCCACCTTTCTGGTCTCTTGGCTGGCAGCAAGCCTCATAGAAATACAAAGATCAGGCTTCAGTCAAAGCAATGCTGTCTAAATATTCAGAAAACAAAATTCCTTTAGATGCCGTGTATCTTGATAGCAGTTATCTTCTTGCTGATGCAAATTTCCAAGTTGACAAAAAGGCTTTCGATGATCTACCTGGACTCTATACGATAATGAAGGATAATTAGGAGAAGTTAATTCTCTCAGTAGATGCATCAATCGTTGCAGAAAGCCCAGATGATTCCTACTACAAGAAAGGAAAAGGACTTTACATTTAGTCAAATAAAGATGGAAAGGGTGCCAGTGGAGATCTCATTAATTTAAAACCAAATGGAAAAAAAGCCGTCTTCATCGACTGGTACAATGATTAGTGTCTGCCCTTCTGGTAAGATGCAATTTAGCAAATCTACACTTAGGTATCATTTGACGGTCTTTGGCTCGACATGAACGAACCAGTAACTCAGAAACCAGGTGAAATTAGCAACCCATCTTCAACAGTACACAGAAAGCTACTTCAAGGTGAAAACAGTGACGAAGATTACACATGGTATGGCACTTTTGACCAAGATAAATATGGTCAGAGTACTTTCTATCTTCCCTTTGTTCCTCAGTATCATGATCAACCCAATTAGTACGGTAACTTTGACAATATTACACTCTCTTTGAATGCCACCTATCCAAGCAACAAACAAACTGAATATGATTTGCATAATCTCTACGGCCACATGTCTGCCAAAAGAACCTATGAAGTCCTAAATAGTGCTAAAGCTCCTGGCTCTCTGAATAACTATAGAACCTTCATTCTCAGCAGAGGCAACTTTTTATCTTCAGGCAAATATGCCTCTCACTCACTTGGCTAGAACATCAGATCTTGGGAATTCATGAAGCAGTCTATAGCCGGAATCGTCAGTATGAATGCCTTTGGAATTACTTAAGTTGGAGCTGATGTTTGCGGGTACTCTGGAAAGAAACTAGACCAAGAAATGTGCGCCAGATGGATATAATTATCCACATTCTATCCACTTGCAAGATCAAATCAAAATGACAAGAACGGTGATGATGTTGATGAAAACTAGGAACCATATAACCTTAAGGACAAATATTTCACAATGGCTTTGAGCTCAATCCAAGATAGATACCAATACTTGAGACACATGTACACTTGCATGTACGAAGTTAGTACTTCTAGTGGATCTTGTTTTGATCCTCTGTTCTACTACTACCCTGAGGATGACAATCTCTTCGGGGATACTTCATCTTCCTTCATGGTGGGAGGAGCTATAAAGGTCACCCCAGTACTCATATCCTAAGTAGATTCTAGTTAATTCTAAGCTTACTTCCCTAAAGGATAATGGGTTAACTTAGCTAATCCAGCTGAAATCCTCGGCAACAATGATGCAGGCTCAATTCATGTTCTTAATGCCAATTAAAACACAGTAAACGCTCATTTAAGACCAGGTACTTGGATCCCTTGGCAAGATTACAAGGTCACTCAAGCCAAAACTACCAACGATCTTCTGAACTTCCCTATTTCAATAGTCGCTAACAGAGACTAAAACGGTAATGCAAAAGGATCATTGGTCTTAAACAGAGGGTAAATATAAGACGAAAGCAGTGTCTACTTCCAGTTCTCGCTACAATCTAATTCACTTATAGCTTAGCAAGGCAGATAAAATGATTATTAGGATCCAGCAATGACGTTCTAAGATCTCAGGATACTAAATGCTAAGGATTTGGAAAACACCGACTTTGCTTGCGTTCAAGACTTTGATATGAAGATCACTTTACTTGATAAGCCAAATTATGATTCATAAATCGCTGTGCTAACTCTTGCTCCATTAAAAGGTACTAAGGTATAATTCTCTCAAATAAGACACCTTTACTTCGGAAATTCAAAGACAGATATAAATCTCTGCTCAGATGACACTTTCAAATACAAAGTAAAGGGTGATGCACCTAAACTTGACTAGAGATCTGCTCAGTTTACAATTACACCATACTCAGCAGCTCTCCAAGAATTGCAAGTTACTCTAAACATTAACACTGATTACATGCTGAACATTAAGTGGAACTATGCAAACAAGCCAGCAGCTTATGTTGCTCCATTTGAAGTGCCAAAGAATGTTATTGGGGATAACCCAACAAAGGACACTTAATACAAGTTATCATAGTTAGTTAAGGTTAACTAAGATCCTTTCTAGTTGACAATTATGGATCCTAAAGGCAATTAACTTTTATCCATCGATAATTTACTGCTTGATTAATATCTAAACGTGATAAAGACAACCGTTACAACTATGAAGGGATAAGACTTCAAGGGAATTTTCGGATTAGGGGAGAGAGCTAATCACGATTTCTTCTACAAGGATGGAATTTACTCTTTGTGGACAAGAGACATTCCCACACCAATCGAAGATGGCAAACCACCAGGTAAAAACATGTACGGAACCCACCCTCTTTACATGCACAAAAGAGACATTGGTAATTGGATTGGAGTCTTCTACAGACTTGCTCAAGCTCAGGATTGGATAGTAAAAAATGATGCTACCAATGGTTTAATCAATCTACAAACTTACTCAACAGGTGGAATCGGAGATATTACCCTCATGATGGGAACAAAGCCAGACGAGATAGTTAGTGCTTACTGGGAAATAGTTGGTAAGCCAGTTGTTGTTCCACAATGGTCTCTTGGATGGCATCAATGCAGATATGGATATGACAACACTCAACAACTGATCGATGTAGTCAACGGCTATAAGCAAAATTCCATTCCCTTAGATGTACAATGGTCTGATATTGATTACTTGTCCGCGTACAAAGATTTTACCTACGATGATTCTGAATACAGATACAAAGATTTGGATGTGTTCGTTTCTAATTTGAACAAAGAAAATAAGAGATATATTCCAATTTTAGATGCAGGTATAGCTTTAAGACCAAGCCAAAACTATGATGCTTATGACCAAGGCAAAGACAAGGATATTTACATTAAGATAAAAGAAAATGAAGATCTAATAGTTTAAGTTTGGCCAAAGGATGCAGTTTTCCCAGATTTCTTCCATCCAGATACTAATCAGTGGTGGAAAGACTAACTTACTAAGTTCAGCAAAAAGATTACCTTCAGTGGGTTGTGGCAAGATATGAATGAAGCCTCTGATTTCTGTGGAGGTCTTTGCTATTAAAGCCAGCAAGTAGACAGTCCAGTTAAGTATAAGCTTAAATATCTACCTACTGGACATGATTTGGAAACCATATCAATGCCACTTGATGCATTCCATCATGGAGGAATACTTGAACTAGATGCTCATTCACTATTTGGAACTTTGTAAGTATCAGCAAGTAATGATTGGTTCAAGGAGAACAATATGAGAACCTTCATCATTGAGCGTAGTTCATTTGCAGGCATGGGTAAATTTGGATCTAGATGGTTAGGCGACAACTACTCAACAAAAGAGTATATGGGGCTCTCTGTAACTGGAGTAATGCTAATGAATATGTTTGGAATCACAATGTCAGGTTCTGATATCTGTGGATTTATGTCTGATACTACTCCTGAATTATGTGCAAGGTGGCATATGGTTGGAGCCTTCTATCCTTTTAGTAGAAATCACAATACTATGGGTGCCATTTCACAAGAGCCATATGTGGATATGTTCTAAAAGCCATATAACAAAGCTGGAGTTACATATACTTAAATCATGACCAGAGCAATTAATATGAAATACAGTATGATCAGATACTATTATACTCAAATAATGCTACAAAGCCTTGAAGGTAAAGAATCTCTCTACAAGCCTTTATTCTTTGAATTCCCTGAAGAAGCAGGAGCTTATGAAAATTTACAGTATAATATAATGCTCGGATAAGCACTCAAGTTAGGTATTTAGAGTGATACTCTTGCTCAAGATACAACATCATTCTATTACCCTAAAGGATTATGGTGTAACATTATATCTCCAGATGAAGATCCTTGTTTCCTATCAACAGGACAGCTCATTCCAAAGGATTCATTTGCTTACAGTTTCTATCTCAGTTTAAGAGAAGGATACCTAGTCCCAATGTAAAACGCTTAAGCTCTTGGAATAATGACTTCTTATGATCTCTAGCAAAATCCAGTAGACTTCCACATTCTTGGTACAATAACAACTGCTCCAGACTGGTCGTCCCAAGGTGAATACTTCAATGATGATGGACTTTAAGTTACTTTTGATAAAAACTATAATAGAGTCAAGATCTAAGTCCAAACCTAACTAAGCGATCCAAAGGATAAGATCTTAATTAATTTCAATCAAGTTGCCAGAGCGACTTGCACTCAACCTGTGAATGACAGATGCCCACCAATTAACTAAAATGATCTTATTGGTAACATCTACATTTACTACGCCAAAACCTACAAAGTTTCAACCACCACCTATAAAGTTACTGCTACCCTCACAGATGAGAAATAGCAAACTGAAACCGTTGATCTCGGCACAACAACATATAACACCGATTTCGATAGACTTGAGTTAAAACCACAAAATCAACAAAAGCTTTTGCTCCCATATTTGGTCAAGATCACTTATTCAATTTGATATCTTATTCATCTTTATTTCAATCAACAAATTTACTATGATTTAGATTAATGGGGTTTTGGGGTTTTGGGG